CTAGACATCAGCTGCTAGATGACCAACTAGACAACATCAGCTACTAGATGACCAAATAGACAACATCAGCTGCTAGATGACCAATTAGACAACATCAGCTACTAGTGACCCACCAAACACTTGGTACACCAGTCGATTCGAGATGTCTTTGCTGATTTGTGTGGCAGGGGACAAAAATACAGAGAAAAGGGGGATAACTGTCAGATTAGTGTCACCACAAGTACCAAATAGAAAGGTGTGACTTCAAACGCCTTTCTTCAAGATGATTCCTCTTAACGTTTATCAAACTACATTTATAATTGTTACGTTTAGAAAAAAAATACATTTAATACATAAATCATGTTGGAAAATTTTTAAAGCATGTAAGTTTAAATCAACAAACACCAACAAATCTCAAACCGCAAGTAAAACATGTAAACCTCGACATTACATCAATCTTGGTTAACTGCCACAGATATTTGCCCACAATTTTTATTTGCACACCTTATTTTAGTCCAATTCAAAAAAAAAAAAAAAAAAAAAAAAAAAAAAAAAAAAATTTTTAGTCTAGTTCATATGCCGTTTTATTTTCTCCATTTAATTACTATATAGATCTATACAATTGATGTTCATGTCTTTGAAGCTGTGTAAAACTACCAAATAAATTAATATTACTATTTTAAATGTTTAAAATAAATAAATAAATTTAAAAAAAAAAACTGGGAGGATAGCTATAGATATAGATGTTTGAAAGGGAAGAATGTTTAATTTGATGTGTCTTATTGTAATCAACATAACTTTTCCGGTTGCTTAAAATTTGTATCATTTTAATTCTCTTTAACCCCAAATTTATTTCAGCTCTACTTAAAAGCCCAAACCTCCCTCAACCTACCACCCCGATAGAAAAAAAAAACATCCCTTAAAATTCAAGTAAATATTCAAGCAATATAAACAGAAAGAGAGCTGATTGGCAGAAGTGGTTACATGTCTGACTTGATGCATGGAAGGCGAGGCGATTTGGTGCCGTGTGGAATGGTAGGTTCGGATCCGGTTGGGTTCTGTCTGTTCTGTCTTTACTTGGACTCTGTACCTTTGTCTACCCTTGGCGTTGAAATATCACTTAATGGTGTCGACCCCCCCCCCCCCCCCAGAGATGTAGTGACCCTTCCGGGGGACAAACTTTCAAATTTTCGATTTGCACCCCCCCCCCCCTTTAAACTTTCGATTTGCACCCCTCCCTTCTCTATATATTTTGCTATTTTTTGCCTTGGTGTCACCCCCCTAAATGGTGTCACCCGGTGCGGCCCCCCCCCCTCGCTACGCCTCTGCTTCTCATCAGGATGACTCCGCCTCTCTTAAAAAGTAACATGATCCACTACAACTGAAAAAATATCATGTTACATAACTTCTCCTAAACGGCAGATAGAATTCCCCTCCTATTATTATTTCAGGACTGATCTACTTGTCCTAAAATAGGATAGATCCACGACTTCTTAAATGACGTCAATGTCCAACATCTTGACCACCTTGATGTAATTAATAACCTATTCTTCATTAACTTTTAAAATGACATCAGTGTCCGACATCTTGACCTCAATGACGTCATCAATAACCCATTCCTCCACCTATTCTTAAATGACATCAAAGTCCGACATCTTGACCACAATGACGTCATTAATAACCCATTCCTCCACCACTTCCACCAAATTTAGCCCCCCACCCCCTAGTGACACGATTTTGACGTCAGAATCGCCTTAGCACTAGACCTGTTTACGTCACAGCTACGTCTACGACTGCAGCAAGTGCGTCATATCCGGAAGTGGATTGTAATGATTGACGAGAATCAGATGGCAGCTTTCAACGAAGGAGCCACGGCAAAGGTCAGTACTTCAGTAGCTGAGTTACCACAATGGCTGGTTAGTCATTCCGATGTCGATGTAAATACTATAAAATCTTGGCTAGTTTGTATTTTTAAATTAATTTTGTACATATGATACTGTTAATTTTAAAAAAAGAATTAATTATAAGCTAATTTAAACCACAACAACAGGTGCGTTAACCAGCCGCCCTTCCCCCTCCCTCCTATTCTAATTATAATTAAGTGACACAAAAGGGCGACAATTTGCAGGGTTTTAAGGTTTACCTCCCATCGATACATCTTTAAAATTGAAAGTTAGTTTATTCTTCAGACTAACGGTAGAATATTTTTTAAAATTAAAAGTTAGTTTATTCTTCAGACTAAGGGTAGACTATTTTTTTAAATTGAAAGTTAGTTTATTCTTCAGACTAAGGGTAGAATATTTTTAAAATTATTATAATTTCTCTTGTTGATAAATGATTTAGAAATACAAAACAGCACATTTATAAAGTAGTGTCTTTACGCCGTGGCATTCAAAGAATTAAATAAACTATTTTAATGCGGTAAGTCGACAGCTTCCACCATATTATATGCAGGTCTGTGCTTAGCCACAAAATAGAATAATGATGGTGCTTGTAATTTATGTTTACTCTTTTCCACAATTTCTGTATAAATCGTGGTATAAAAGTATACAATTTCTGTTTAAATCGGGGTATATACAATTTCTGTTTAAATCTCGGAATAAAAGTATACATTTTCTGTTTAAATCTCGGTATATAAGTATACATATTCCTTTTAACCTCAGTATATAAGTATACAATTTCTGTTTTAAATTCGTTAATGAAGTATAACATTTTTTGTCTTAATGTTGTTAAAGAAGTACTATAGCAGAAGATGATACATATTATGTAAACACACTTTGAATTACTTACATAATATAATAGTTTTAGACTCGGTATATAAGTATACAATTTCTGTTTTAACCTCGGTATATAAGTATACAATTTCTGTTTTAATCTTGTTACAAGAGTATTATAGCAGAAGATAATACAAATGTGAACACATTGAATTACATAAGATAATAGTTACTTAAAACATACAATCAACCAGTACAGAACAGTTCAATACAATAAATCTATCTAAAATTTAGTACAATCATGAAGATAGGGTGGCATTTGTCAGAACGTATCCTCATCCCCCCCCCCCACACACACATGGCTGAGGATCAACCTCCATTGCTAAATCTGACAAGGATTAACATTGATGTGAACCTTAAATTCTAGAAAAAAAATTGCTGCGTACCCATTAAAGCTGAATGAACTCAAAAATGTCTAAAACCATAATGTCGAAACTCTCTAACTAGCGAACCGATTATACTTTTGGAGCTCACCCTAGGGTCTATTGGTATGACACCCCCCCCTCCCCAAGTCTGAGCCTAAATCTAGAAGCTTCCAAGCCACGTCGAAGCAAGGAATAATTTCAACAGACTAGATAAAAAAATATAATCCAAAAAAATAAAATAGAACAAAGAAACCGAGGCACCGAAAGAACTCTCAAATCCGTTTGAAGCTAAACCCACCCTCACCGACACGTTGACCTAAATTGGAATACTTAATTAATCTTTAGTTTCGGGAAGAAACTCGAGCATATTGTAAATCAAGCTTTTTTAATTTTACCCTCCAGCTATTCTCGGTTAGTGACTAAATAAAATTAGAAAAAATATCGATTTTTTTTCCCTTTCAGAAATACAGTTTCGTTTAACTTAACAAAACGTTGGTTCCAAAATGAGATTAAAAATATTATGGAAACATTATAGGATAGTACTAATTATTACATTTTTGTTCAAATCTACAACGATATTATTTAACATATTTTTTTTTTAAATACGTGTCTTTTTTCTAAGATAGTGTTTGTAAGTGGAAAAAGAAAATAATTCAAATATAAAAAAAAAACATAACTGAAATTATTTAGAGAATGAAAAGAAACCATTCTTTTTAAGTAAAATAAAAATAGACTATAGTTTCTAGTCACATCTATCCAATGTATGGCTAGCTAGCTACATTTCAAAGGCCAAATGGAAAATAAATGTATGGCTAGCTGACTATACATAAAATGGGATTAACAGTATGGCTAGCTGACTACTCTGAAGGGAAAAATACCTGTATGGCTAGCTGCCTTTATATAAAAGAAGCAAATAACTGTATGATAGTTTTGCTGTATCACAAAGCGGACTAGCTGACTCTACCAGTAGTTAACACGGTAACATCAGTAAGCGTGACATAAAATATTCAAAAATAAATATTTAACTAACTTTAACGTTATAGATCTCAAGAAATTACAACAGTAACAATCCTAGTAGCCGATCATTTTTATAAGGCCGACACGACTATTGTCTGACCATTGAACGACTGACCATCAAACTAACCAACTAAAGACTGACCATCAAACGACTAATCAACTAAAGACTGACTAGCGACTGACCACTCTACGACAAATGTTCCCCAACTTTTAACCACCTAACAACTAACCACCGGTTAAACTGTAACCACCTGTTAAGCTGACCACAAAACGACTCATCACCTTACTACCAACCATCTAATTACTAACCACCCAACCACCTAACCAATAACCACCTAACCACCCAACCACATCACCACCTAACCATCTCACCACTAGAGGCGTAGCGATCCTACCCGGCGCCCGGGGACAAACTTTCAATGTGCACCCCCCTCAAACTTTCCATTTGCACCCCCCACCTTAACTTTCCATTCGAAACTGCAGCTGAAATGATATTTTAATTTGTTTTTCCAACCTATGTTGGCGCCCCCTAAGGTTGGCGCCTGGGGACATATGTACCCCCCGCCCCGCCCCCCACTCGCTACGCCTCTGCTCACCAACAAACCACTAACCACCTAACCATCATAACCACCTCACCCCCTAACCATCTAACCACCTAACCATCCTAACCACCTCACCCCCTAACCATCTAACCGCCTAACCATTAACCATCTAACCACCTAGCCATCCTAACCACCTCACCCCCTAACCATCTAACCACCTAACCACCTAACCATTAACCATTAACCACTAACCACTAACCACCTCACCCCCTAACCACCCCACCACCTCACCACCTAACCACCTACAACAACACGTAACTCACCTTAGTCGTGAGGGTGGCGCTGTGTAAAATATCACCTGGCCAGAACAGCTGAGAGGCCACGGTCACAGCGGTCAAGGACATGCTGACGTTGCCCCCGGCGTCGAAGGTCGTGTCAAGGTTATGCTCGTCATGGAACACGTGTTTCCGGATGCTGTTGTGGACGAGGGCGAGGATGATGGAGAACCCCCCAAATCCCAATAGCATCAACAGGGCTGTCTCCTCCTTTGATAGAACAGGCTTTACGCTGAAAGGATAAATGTCACAACTAAAAAAAAAATTTAAAAAAAAAGCTTTACGCTGAAATGATGAATGTCGTATATGAACAACTGACTCATGCTAAAAATAGAAATGTCGTAGGTATAGAACTGGCTTCACGTGACCATATTTTTACAGACGACAGCAAGTTCTTAATTTCGTTACCTCCCCTTAGTTTCAAATTGTTTAAAAACTTTCTTTTCCGTCCCTAATATTCTTCACCAATTCGACCCGGCTCTATGATTGTAAACATTCGGCGTGAATCACAGTTCACCAGACTGGTCGGGTGATTGCGTCTAGCTAGTTATTTCCCTTTCTGGTATTGAATAAAAAAAAATCTATCGAGTGATTTAATTTTGTTATCTCCCCTTAGTTTCAAAACTGCTTCATTTTTTAACGACTAATTGAACATCTAATTAAATTTTTTTAATGGATGGACTAGTGTTATCAACGACACGGGACGTATCGTGAAAGCTTGAACAAAATCGCTGTATTACAAGTATATCAAAATTGAGTTAAAATATTTGCCACACAAACAAACAAACAAACAAACAGACGTTGCAAACTAAATAGAAGCTTGCAAAAAAAAAAAAAAAAAAAAAAAAAAAACTTGCTTAACTCTTTAAAAAATAAAATAAACACTGCAGCTATGAGAATAGAATGTTGCAGCTATAAAATAAAATATGGCTTTACGCAGACATACAACATTTATTAAAGCTATGAGCTAGTTTTAAATTGAAAATATGGAAACTAGAATAACAACATTGGTCTTACGACGAAACATTAATTCTTCAGGCTTTGAAACTTATATCCCACTATGAAAAGAGAATCTCATTTGTCGTGTTGGCTTTACGAAACTAAGTCCAACAATGGTTACTATTCTTTGGCTTTATCGACTAGAGGTCCCCATGAAGTTAACTCCTCTTTTATTCAATCATATGGAGGTGTTTTAAAATAATTATTACCAGATAAAATCTGGATTTTGGAAGTCATTTACCTTCACATGTTTGAATACTAGGGTCGGCCATATGTAACACAAGGCTTAACGTATATAATTTAATAATAAACTGCATTTCGTCTAAATACATATAGTTTATTGGACGGAGAGGTCTAGTGATAGAGGGCTTGACTGCTAGCCCGAAGTTTCGAGTTCGGATCTCTGTTCTGACTAGTGACTGAGTCTACTTAAATCTGATGTATGCCTAAATTATGTTAGGTAAAGTAAAGACAGCTGGTCATAGAGCTGACCACACCATTCATTCATCAAGAAATATGTCAACTCTACTTCATCTACCTAATGGTCTGATTGAAATTTACTTACTTTATACCGAATTTAAATCGTTTTATTGTCTACCATGACAGGTCCCCGTAGCGCAGGGGATAGCGCGCTGGACTTCTAATCCAGAGGTCGCGGGTTCGAATCCCGCCGGGGATGCTTTTTTTTTCCATTACAAGCAAGCGTTTGGTGTTTTTTTTTTAAAGAAAACTAATGAATTGTTAACTTAATTCTTAATTAATTTAGAATTTTTTTTAAATACATTTACTTATTTTCCAGACGGAATCTGTTTTCAATGCGTTGTTCAACCCTACACCATATTATTCTGTACAATCTTTTCCAAAACTATATTATATTTAATGCATTCGTGGTGTGTAGGGTGGGGTAAGTATCTCTGGAGTGATATCTCTAAAAACAAACTTTAACAGGAAATTTCTAAATTTACCAACACTACTATCTACCCCTATACAACCGCATAGTCCCTATTCCTACCGTTGGCCATAACTACTATGTATGAAAATATCCACCCTTGCGATTATCCACCATCCATGAATCCAATAACTATGCTAATGAACAACGGGTCATCAGAAACCAATCAATCTCATTATCACGATTCATCTTAAGCCGATTCCACACAAAAAAAAACTTCTAATTTTATCAACTTAAGCCTCTCTCACCAAAAATAAAAAACTTCTAATTTTTATCATGGCCACTATGTGAGCAATTATTTTTTCTTTTAAATCACGCACTAATATAGAGAAGCTTAACTGCTTGGGGATATTCTAGGCTTAACGTTTAGATCCCGATGGTTCTCAACTTACTTCAGTTAATTTTATATATATATATATATATATATATATATATATATATATATATATATATATATATATATATATATATATATATATATATATATATATATATATATATATATATATATATATATATATATACATGTTTATATAACTCAAATTCTTGAAAACCCTCCCCCTCTATACGAGACAATCCTAGTTACGCGACTGATTAATATGTCATAAATTATCATAGAGTAGGTGTATACTGTATATTGTATATTTATTTGTATATATGTATATGTTTATAATTATAATCTGACAGTAATCAGTGAGATAGAAATATAGATAGTTAGACTAGAAAATTAAAACTAAAATCAGTATTAGATTAAACAAACGTGCTTTTAGGTCTAGAATTGAGAACCCATGGTACTTTAAAGAATTGTGTACATAAGGGCTAGAACTGCATATTTCCCCTGCACCCCCTCAGTCTACTCTGATAACCGCTGGCCTGTGTGAGGATATTTGTCTGAGTGTTCTAGAGCCACCCCCCCCCCCCCTCAGTCTACTCTGATAACCGCTGGCCTGTGTGAGGATATTTGTCTGAGTGTACTAGAGCCACCCCCCCCCCCCCTCAGTCTAAACTCTGAGAACCCCTGGCCTGTGTGAGGATATTTGTCTGAGTGTTCTAGAGCCACCCCCCCCCCCCTCAGTCTAAACTCTGAGAACCCCTGGCGTGTGTGAGGATATTTGTCTGAGTGTTCTAGAGGCACCCCTCAGTCTAAACTCTGAGAACCCCTGGCCTGTGTGAGGATATTTGTCTGAGTGTTCTAGAGGCACCCCCCCCCCCCCCAAGTCTAAACTCTGAGAACCCCTGGCCTGTGTGAGGATATTTGTCTCTGCGTGTTCTAGAGACACCCCCAGTCTATACTATGAGAACCCCTGGCCTGTGTGAGGATATTTGTCTGAGTGTTCTAGAGACACCCCTCAGTCTATACTATGAGAACCCCTGGCCTGTGTGAGGATATTTGTCTGAGTGTTCTAGAGACACCCCTCAGTCTATACTATGAGAACCCCTGGCCTGTGTTAGGATATTTGTCTGCGTGTTCTAGAGGCACCCCTCTAAACTCTGAGAACCCCTGGCCTGTGTGGGGATATTTGTCTGAGTGTTCTAGAGACACCCCTCAGTCTATACTATGAGAACCCCTGGCCTGTGTGAGGATATTTGTCTGAGTGTCCTGAGGGCAAAGATTTCCGCTGACGGATGGCCTTTAAATATGAAAACAAATTGCCAATTTAGGCTCCCGGCATTTTTTTTTGGGGCGACTCAAGTTTTCCATGGCTCACCCCCCCCCCCTTCCCTCACCCGCATCCCCCACTACAGATCTACCCCTGTCTTGTACTTACGTTTTCCATGACCCCCATTCCCCCACCCCTCCACCTCCACCCATATTTACTTGTCTTGTACTTACGTTTTCCAAGACCCCACCCCTCCACCCCACAGATTTACTTGCCTTGTACTTACGGTTTCCCCTCCAACCCCCCCCCCCCCCCCTCTCCCCCCCCCCCCCCAACCACAGATCAACTTGTACTCACGTTTCCTTAACCCCCTCCCCCACCCTAACTTCATCTACCTTCACCCCCCCCCCACCCCAGATCTACCCGTGTTTTGTACTCCATGAACCCTCCCACCCTCCTCCCCCTTTCCCCGTGTTGTCCCCAACGTCCAAATCTACCCTTGTTTTATGTTTTCTTCCTCTAAAAATGGAAACTATCATTTTAAAATAACGTGAACTAATTACATTTAAATTGATTTATTAATCACGAAGTTTTATCTAAATATATAGCGAACCAAAACTAATTAGTATGTAATTGCTTGTCATCATTTACTCTAATATTATGGCATTATAGACAACCCGTTTTACAGTACAAAAGAAAAAAATAGTTTTAAAAAAAACTACTTTAAGATATTGTTGATGACATTGCATTAAATTCATCAAAGGCATTTGACTGGAAAGATACTTGCAATAGCACTTTTTAAAAAGATGTAATGTATAGAAAGACTTCGTCAAATTTTATTTCAAGGCCACGATTAAATAGACTGTTGTCAATGATAGTTGTATATATTTTTTTATACAAGTCATCGCTTAACTCCCCTACACTTTTAGAGTACCCGTAACATTAATCATTATTAATGAACCTAAAGTACTATTGCACTGTCGACAGTACAAGGTAAAGATTAACTTTTGGAAAATCTTGTCCTTGGGATAACGCCGGACCAACAAATCCTGGAAAATGAAAAACCATTTTGGCAGACGACGTACAGTGCTTGGATCCTTATCGGTAAGATTGTAGCTATTTTTAGATGTTTTCATCACGTGATTAACTAAAAGTAAAAAAAAAATTATGTCAATTGGTTTAATGGTTGTAAGAAAGTAAAGAGATACGATAATTCACCCACTCGTTTCACCTTATCAAGATAGACGAGCTTATGCCTAGGATTTCGTTACAACATGTCTGTAGTTTAAGTATTTGTCTTTGGTGATTCTATAAATCGGTCAGTCATCAAAATTAGTCAGACATAATTGTCAGTCATGTGAGACTGTTTAGTAGTCAGACAGATCCATCAGTCTGTATTGTCAGTCAGTACCTCATTCTTTTTGCTTGTTTTGTTCCCTGTATGGTGGAGCTGCCTATTGTATCCTTTCTTCCTTACACTAATACATACAACAGTTAGATCTAGAAATCTATTATTAGTTAGACCTCTCAAACGCCCTACTTTTCTCGTTCTTACTCTCTATACTGTGTAATTCGGTACACGATTTATAACCGTCAGGTATAAAAAAAAAACCATACATTTATCCTAACATAATATCCCACCCACAAACACCCACACTGTCCCAAATTATAACAACACCCTCA